ACAATAGAATTGTTCTGAGCTTTTAATAACTCAAAGAATACTAAGCTATTATAAGACAGAACCGTAATAGAAGCTGACTAGACAAGGTAAGGACGGACATTGCTCTAAATCAGCTCGGGTGTAATGGTCATTTTCAGGCTTCAAATGCTCTTTGACATAAATATGAGTTAATTAACAATAAAATAAGCAGTACACATAGACCAAAACTCAAAACAACATCACACATACAGCCTATAAAAAAGCAGTCTGAACAGGATGATTTAAAAAGAAAAAAAGAGTAAGATGTAAATATTAGTAACTCAATTACAGCATATATGCCATCTCAAGAATGGGTTTCCCCTCCAAGCTGCTCAGCTTTCCTCTCCCATCCCGGCAGATAATTGCTTCCACTTTTATGTTCTCTGAGACCTTATACAACAGTTTATGATTCATTCCACATGATTTGTTCTTTTGGTGTCTGACCTCCTGAGCTGATCATGAGCAAGTTGAAGGGCGAGACCATTCATTGTCTCTCCACTGGCTTCTAGTAACTACCCAGTTAAAGTCTTTTATGGACTGTCGAAGCCATTGTTTTGAAGCTGTGGGTGCCAGACCACATTACCCACATGAGAGTCGCTTGGGTGCCTACTGAACTGTAGCTTTCTGAACACAGTCCCGGATTTATTGAATCAAAATCATTAGGAGTGGAGTCCAGGACTTTATGTTTAACAAACATCAAAGGTCATTCTTATACACACTAAAGTTTAGAATCACTATTCTCATTCACTTATCTTAACCAACTTCATATGGTATGCTTTGTTATTTGGCTAACTTTTTTAGAAGTTTAAAAATCACCTCTAAATTTGAATTTTTTAGAAGTCTTCTACCTTGAACTTCACAGAATTTTAGAAATTTAGACTTTGGAGCCCTTCCTATTCTGTGTCCCAGGTCCTGAGATATGTTCAGAATTGGGTCAGATGTTGAAGATGAGGAGAGAGTAAGGTTTTCTCCACAGAGAATCTATTATCATGTATCATGTGGCCATAGCTGTGACTTGCATCCTCTGCTTCACAGGTGGGCTGAGGTTTTCTGTGCAGACAGCCACCCCAACTGGCATGTGATGTATTTCTTCTGCTTCTTCTCTGTCAACCACTCTGGTCCCCATATTAAATAGGGGCTCATCAGAATATATAGCATATAGCATAGCAGAAAGAACTCTCTGCTCAGATATGCTGTCCTGATGAGCCCTATAATAAATGGCAAATAGCATGAAGCAAATTGTTTTTCATTAATTTTTATCAGATGACGATATATTTTATTAGAAAAAACCCACTCTTGTCCATTTCTTATTTGAGTATTATATAGTCTATAACAATTTAAGTAGCCCAGTTTAAGAGATCTGTTTATACTCTAAGAGTTAATGATTTATTTTTATTTTGACAGTTACTTGGAGAGTTTTCTGTAATACACCAGTAATGTAATATATCCTACCAAAGTAAGTGTTATCAGGTTCCATCACAGGGAATATAGAGCGTTGAATTCATTTATTTTTTATTATAGCTGACATACAATATTATGTTAGCATCAGGTGTACAACATAGTGATTAGTTATTTATATACATTACAAAGTGATCACCCCTTATAAATCTAGTATCCATCTGACACCCTATATGGTTATTACAATATTATTTACTATACTAGAGGCTGCCAACTGCTGGCCAGGGCCTCCCTCCCTTCCCCCAGCAGGCCCCTGGTCGAACTCCCAGTCAAGTGGACAATTTTCATAGTACGCTTTTATTATATAGGATTCCCTGTGATGTACTTTATATCCCCATGACTAATTTTATAACTGTCAATTTGTACTTCTTTTTAAAAAATTTTATGAGTTTATTTGATGACATGTTTATTGATTTGGCCCAATTACTTATGCATTCATTGGTTGATTCTTACATGTACCCTGACTGGGGATCAAACCCACAACCTTGGTATTTCGGGATGACATTCTAACCAACTGAGCTACCTGGCCAGGGCATTTAGTTGTAATTTTTTTTTTAAAATCATCACCTGAAGATATTTTTCCATTGATTTTTGGAGAGAGTGGAGGAGAGAGGGAAAGACAGAAAGAAACATTGATGTGAGAGAAACACATTGATTGGTTTCCTACAACCAGAGCCCAAGCCAGGAAGGAGCCTGTAACCGAGGTATGTGCCCTTTGGTCCATAGGCTGATGCTCTATCCACTGAGCCAAACTGGCTAGGGCAGTTGTAATTTTGATGTGGTTGTGAGAGGAGGTGAGCACAGCATTTTCCTACTCTGCCATCTTTTTCTTTCCTTTTTATTGAATTTATTGGGGTGACACTGTTTAACAAAATTACATAGGTTTCAAGTGCACAATTCCACAACACATCATCTGTACACTGTACTGTGTGTTCGCCTCCCCAATTTAAGTCTCCCTCCATTCTACTCTGCCATCTTGAGGAAAGCCATTTTAGATGAACTTTTCTATTTGCCTTGTTCTTGGTTAAATAGCTATTTTTCTATAGTGAATTGATCCAAGGAAAAATTTTATGTAAGTTTTTTAGGGTGGTTGTTTATTGGAGCTGAGAGTTTGTATATATTCCTATTTTTCTTCTTTCTATACTACTAGGTTTTCCTTTCCCAAGAAAAACAACAAAATTTTATGAGAAAATATAATGTAGATATACTTTATTCAATGTAATTTTTTAGTTCCTAAAATATGTGCAATTAAAAATTAATATTTAATTAGATTAGGGAATTTGGTGTGAAAGGGAATTCTCATATTAAGAATTGTTTTGTAAGTACATCATATAAGCAAATAATATCTGCATATCTATATTTTCAGTTGTTGGCTTATTTAAACTGGAATGTAACTGCAAAACCTGCTGAAACTAGAACCACCCTTGACAAATTAAGCCAGAGGCCTAGTTCAACTTTGCTTTTAAATGTAAATTGCATCATCTGTACATGGTTGCCTTAAATTATCTTTAACATTTTATAAAAATATTTCAGTCCAGCTACTGTTTTCCAAAACAACAGAGTAAGAAATGGAAGCAGACATTTACCTCTATTACGTCTATTATTAAGGATTTATATTGCCTACCCACACAAATAAGTATAAACAGGAAACACCCAAGATGCAGAGATAAATCAGAAATATGGTTGTGTGCTTGGAGTTACTGCATTCGATGGGACAGTGCAAGTCCTCTGTGCTGACTGGGCAGGATGGTCACAGCCGCTAACAGGCAGACACTTCCAGGTCCATCCTAAATTGCTGAGTGAAATGTGTTTTGTGTGTTTTCTGAGCATTCTGCAGACTTGATGGGTGAAAGCGACATCCTCGTTGGCAGGTCTCCCCAAAGACAACCACCCTGAATCATGAATGCGTATGTGCGCTTGAACAGAGCTACGTAAGGAGGCCTGAAACCTGGTCCTGGTAAGTCTTTCCTAGTCATTTGACAGTTAGTCCAGAGGTTCATAAAACCTACTGAAATGAACAGACTCCTACCTCTATAAATGGCTTATTTTCTCCTGCTAGAGCAGCGGTTCTCAACCTGTGGGTCGCGGCCCCTTTGGGGGTCGAACGACCCTTTCACAGGGGTCGCCTAAGACCATCGGAAAACACATATATAATTACATATTGTTTTTGTGATTAATCACTATGCTGTAATTATGTTCAATTTGTAACAATGAAATTGGGGGTCACCACAACATGAGGAACTGTATTAAAGGGTCGTGGCATTAGGAAGGTTGAGAACCACTGCTCTAAAGGCATCAGAAGCTTTTAAAGGCTGTATATCAGTGGTTCTCAACCTTCTGGCCCTTTAAATACAGTTCCTCATATTGTCACCCAACCATAAAATTATTTTCATTGCTACTTCATAACTGTAATGTTGCTACTGTTATGAATCGTAATGTAAATATCTGATATGCAGAATGGTCTTAGGCGACCCCTGTGAAAGGGTCGTTCAACCAAAGGGGTCGTGACCCACAGGTTAAGAACCGCTGCTGTATATAATGACCTTAGATGTTCAACACATATTTTCCAATACTAATCTATAATAAGAAAAGCATTATATGCTTATTAGACGGGACAGCCAAACGACCTTTTTGATGAAGCCGTGGCAGCAGGGATGAGGCAGAGGCGGTTAGGGGCGATGAGGCAGACAAGTGGTTAGGGGTGATCAGGCAGGCAAGCAAGAGGTTAGGAGCCAGCAGTCCCAGATTGCAAGAGGGATGTCTGCCAGTTTAGGGATCAGCAGTCAAACCAGCAGTCAAACATCCCCTGAGGGGTCCCGGATTACAAAAGGATGCAGGCCAGGCTGCGGGACTCCCCTCTTCCCCCGTGCACGAATTTCATGCACTGGGCCTCTAATAACTTAATAATTGTTTACTATGCCTCAGTCCCTGTGCTGGGCATTTTATTTTTTATTTTCTTCCTCATTCAGTACTCACAATGATCACTTTGGATAGGGGCTATTGTCAACACCATATTTTGGAGAACATCCATATTTTGGAGAAAATAAAACTGAAACTTAAAGAACTAAAATGTAATGTCACAAAGCTAGTCGGCTCACTACAACACTCAAGTTTGGGAAGTCAGTTATTCACCCTGAGCTCAGTTCCCTTGTCTTTGAATTTGAGGTGGTATCTTCCTCTTTGAATTGTAAAACCTCCTTTATATAGGTCACAACCGATGACTAGCAGTGACCGGAGACAGTTCGCCTTAATCTGTGGACCCCAGAACCTTCCTTGCAAAATAAAAGACTTCACCCGTTCAGACCTCCCGTTTGTCTGCTGCTTTCCCTCAGGAGCTGAACTACATCCCCCACAAGGCACCGCGCGCTGCGCTGGGAATGCCGTCCGTCCCCTCTCTCAGCTCTCCCTCCGTTCCTCCTACAACTCCCACAAGCCCCCTCGGCCCTCGGCCTGGGCCTGGGCCAGGGCCAGACCTGGGGTGGAGGCGGAGGCGCGGGAGTTATGGAGGGGGCGGGCTCTGCAGGGAAGTGCGTCAGAGGAGGCGCGGGGAGAGTAGGGCGCTGTGGTCCGAGCTGAAGGGTGAAGCTGGCGGAGCAGGAGGATGGGCGGTGAGAGAGCGGGGCCGGCGTCGCCGGGCGGGGGTCGCGTAGCCGAGCGACGTTGCTACGGTTTAGGGAGGGTCCCCTCCCTGGCGCCGCTGGGGTGGGCGGGTTCTGAGCGGCGAAGCTGGGCGGGGTGGTCCCTCGGCCGAGGGGTCTGGGGAGGGGCCTGGTCGGGTACCCGGGGCCCCTGGCCCGGTCCGCGCAGGGCTTCCCCGTCCCTACCCGGCCCGCGTCGACCTCCCCCGGAGCCCAGGGGCGCCCCGCGAGGGGCCGGCGCCAAGCGTCCGGCCTGCCAGGAGCGCCTCCCGGGGCCGGGACCTCATTTTAAGGTCATTTGCGAGCACGAGGATAACAGAGGGTTCAAAAGAATAGACCCCAACCCGCCCCCTGGGGTTGCCATGCATGACTGTCATTGCCCTGATCGCCCCAAGTCACCCCCAGCCTCCTGGCGCGGCCCCCGCCGTCCGCGAGTCCGTGTCCGAGCTGCT